TTTGAGCCTCTCTTTGCACTCCAGACAGGGATGTTTGAATTTGTAGAAAATAATTACAACTCTAAATGCGCATTGACTTATGTCAATTCTAGACTGTTGCTATTATGAGGTGTCAAAATTCATTTTAGTTTGGAATTAAAGCCCCTCTCCCCACAAAATGCTATGCAATTTTATACTAAATACCTATGTTCAATCCCATCACTTTCTAATGTGTAGTTTTTAAGTCTGATTTTTGTTTCCTCTTATTGAAAGTAATGAATGTTGCAATTGTATTTATTGAAAAGGCTGGGCACGCCATAGCCCTCTCACCACATTTGAATTTTGCAAAATTAAATATATGCATAATTATGATTTGTTTTGATTACTATGGAAAGATAGCTGAAATAACTTGTAATTCTTGAATTTTTTTCAGAGAACTTGGCATATTATGTATCTCTGGAACATAAATGTTCTTTTAAAGTGGTAAGTTCAAAATCAGAACTCTGCTATCAAAATATCATTTGAATATATTTCAGAATTTGAAAGGATATTAAAAGTTGTTTTATTTAATATCCTTCTGATGCTCTAATTTTCTTTAAACAACCTTTTAAATAAATTCCATTAAAATTATATATATTGAGCACTTCTTCTTTAACAGGTATATTTGTAGGCTGGTAATAAAGAAAGATGACTCTCAGCTTTCAGGGGACTCAGAATTCAGCACAGTGAGAATAACAGACAAATATGAATGTAAAGCATATAATCCAGTAAAATGACCATTCTGAAAGTTTCTAAAAAGTATAGTAAGAGTACAAGAACTAGATTCACTCACACTGTCTGAGGAAGACATGTAAGTAGAACTTTCATTTTAAGTTGGAGTGAAAGTTGAATTCACATGGTCATGATAATGACACTAAATTTATTTGTGTTCTCTTAGGTTTCATTCCTTTATGTCTCCCAATTTTACCTTCTTCCTTAAAATTGTTCTTTATGGGACATTTTTTGTAGATGAGGTAAATGATAGTTTTCTTGGCTTCTTTCTCAGAAAGGTTATTATGGATGTGTAGGGGCATTTTGTGTCTATTGAATTTTGCTCTGTAAATTTAATGAGTTTTTGAGTCCAAGCTAAAGAAAGGAAATTACAAATATGGGGTTACTGACACTAGATTAATGGCTATAGAAGATAATATAACCATTAGGAAAAACAGCATGCAATTCTTCAGATTAAAAAATATATCTTGTGATTTAATAATTCCACTAATATGAATTCACCTACAAAAACAAAATCAATATATTGAAGAGATGGATATGCAATCAGAATGTTTGTTGCAATAATTTTCGTAGCAGACAGCATATGCAAGTTATATAAGTGTGCATGAATGGACAAATGGAAATAAAAAAGGTTAATAATTGTGTGCATATATATGTACTTGAGTATTTGTGAGTGTATATGTGCATTTATGCAAATACTATCACTATGATGTAATACTATGTAGTCAAAGAATATGAAACTATGCCATTGATAGAAAATGATTGATATTAGAGGGCATTCCATTCTATGAAATGTACAGTGCATAAATATAAAATTATTTCACAATCTCAAAACACGTATGAACTAGAAGAATTCGGTTCTATAATAGAATAAGAATTTTAGTAACTAGAGGTAGAATAAGAGTGAAATATGTTGCTAATATTGTTTATTGGGTACAAAGTTGCCTACTTGTGAGGAATACATTATTTATCTCTATATCTCTTTCTATTTACCACCTGTCTGTCAACCCATGTATCATCTACCTATTTATCATACAACACCTATCTCTCTCTTCATATATACATACAAAATATCTGTATACTATATATACATATTATGTATCTGTCTATATAAATATATACATATATAATCTATTTACTACTCTTCTATCTACTATGTGTCTCTCTTTCCTAAAACATCTATTATCTATCATTTATATATTCATTTATCTATCATTTCCCTATAATCTATGAAATGATATGTAATACACTAGTATAAATTCTTTTAAGCAGAAAGAGTCTTAACAATTCCAGGAAGAAACAGATGAATTGAGTGAGAGGTCCTTATAGTTTGGACACTTGAATACTTGTTTTGAGTTCATGGTGATATTTGAGGAGTATTTGGAGTTTGGGCTCTGTTGAAGGAAGTATGTAACAGGAAATTGACTTTATGAGTTTAAAGCCTCACACCATTCTTATTTTGTAATTTTTATTTCCCTTTTGAGGTTACAGTTTTGAGCCCTTAGTTTCCTGTTCGTGATGCCTTGCAGGCAGACTTCGTTTTTTTCCCTCCTGCCAGTTTCCAAATAACAGACATGAAGATGTAATATGAATTACAAATGCTTAGTCAATATTTTAGGTTTGTTACTAACTAGCTTTTACAGCGTAAATTTCTATTAATCTATGTATGTGACTTGCTCATGGCTTTCCCTGTCCTCTAGCATGCCTTTCTCTCCTTGCATTTCCTTGCAACCTCTTAAACTCCACCCTTCTTTTTTCCCAGTATTCTTAGTCTGGTTTTCCTCCCTTGCTCATCGGTTTCAGCTCTTGGCCTATCAGTGTACAGAAGGATTATTCCACAGCATTTATATTAACAGCCTCCCGCTACAGTTCTTTAAAATGATGATTCCTTACGTTCCTACAAGTGTAATGCCAAATAAAATAGTTCTTATATAAGTTTCCTTGACTATAGTGTTTAACATACTAATAGAAATGTAATGAATAAATAGATCTAGTGTGTGTTAAAAAGTTCTCTAAGCCCGGCCATCTTATCTACTTCCCATAATCAGGAAAAGAGCTATATGTTTTTCTTTGGGATCACCTTCTTATTTAGCTTCTTTAGGAGATCAAATTATAGACTCACTGACCTATATTTATCTCTAGAAACCAATTATGAGTGATTACATCCCATGTTCATCTTTTTGGGTCTGGGTTACCTCACTCAGGATAGTGTTTTCTATTTCCATCCATTTGCATGCAAAATTCGAGAAGTCATTGTTTTTTACCGCTGAGTAGTATTCTAAAAAAAAAAAAAAGTTCTCTAAGATACAGAAGTAATCACTGAGAAAAATAAAATGAACACTTTCCACACAAACTAGAAAATGCTATAGGAAATAAAAAGATCAAGGTTAATAAAATGTAAACTTGAGCATATTAGAGTGATCCTACATTTGTCTAAAAGTATCTCGTTATAAAAGAAATACAGTTTTTTTCTGCCTACAGGTTATATAACATGTGTTAACAAATGACTGAAAAAAAGAACACTTATTTTGATTCACTGAATGAGCTGCTAGTAGAATTCTGACCTGCATCTGGACATCACAATATTGGGATATGCATGCATAATAGGCCTAGAGTGATTGAGAGTTGGCATTTGAATATAACATGTTCATCAAATCCAAACATCTACCATGTAAATTTCAAAATGCATATATCTCCTTGTCTTCTACTTTATATGATATCCATTTTCTAACCTAGGACATAAGAGAACAGAACAATTTACTAATTTCCTTATTTTTCAGATTTCATATTCATCATATTATCTTTCATATAAGATTGTCAAACCTATAATACTAAAATTCTAGATGTATAGATTTTTATAATGTAAAACAGAAAACATCAAATCCTCTGAAATGTACTTAAGACATTAATATACAGCCATATATTTATATATCAACTTCTACCCAATATTTTTTACTTACCCTGAAAAATATGTTGCAAATATTTTTCTCAGTATTTTGAATTAAATGACATATACACAGTTCTGTTATCATTTTCGATAGAACATGTACATATGTGATATAAATAATACAGTTTATATATGCATATACAAATCATAAACTTGTAACAATGAGTATTCACAAAATGAATACATTCTATTAATCACACTCATTCCAACATAGAAAATCAAACTCCTTTTTTATTCTTTCTGGCCATTAATGCCATAAAGGAAGGTAAAAACATCTTGTTTTGTTCTCTACAAAAATAATTAAAGTTTGTGTTATATTCTAGTTATTTTATTTATAGTAGAAAAGAAATTCTTTTTAATAAGAATAAATGTTCTATAACAAACCTGATTTAGCCAGTCAATGACATGTCATTTTCCTGTGTACATATGACTGTGTTACAATATTAGTAAAATATTAAATAGTAACCTTAGCAAGACTTAAAAAGTTGAAAATGACTACTCAATAAAAAGTGTCTGTATGGAATCTGTAATTATAAACTTTTTGGAGAGATAATTTCAATTATAAAATCCTTGATACAGTGGAAGCATATTAAGTGCATACAGGCTATTTGGTGTCATGCTGTTCAAAGTAAAGAAATATTTGGAGAGACCAGAAACACATTTTAAAAATGCTGAATCAATGTATGTCTCTTTTAGGGTCCTCATTGTTATCTAGGTTCTCTGGGATTGTTATTTGTAGGGTGGTTTTCTTTGCTTATGTCTATGAGTGAGTCAATATGATGTTGGTCTTTCTTGGTCTGGGTTACCTCACTCAATATGATGTTTTCTAGCTCCATTCATTTGCTTCCAAATTTCAAGATGTCATCTTTTTTTTCCTGTTGTGTAGTACTGCATTGTGTAAATATACCACATTTTCCTTATCCATTCCTCAGCTGAGGGACATTTAGGTTGTTTCAAGGTTCTAGCTATGACAAACAATGCTATCATGAACATAGCTAAGCACACGTCCTTGTGGTATGATTGAGCATCCTTTGGATATATACCCTAATCTACATGGGAAGTAGAAAAAGACAAGATCTCCTGAGTAAAATGAGAGTATGTGGACCATGGGAGAGAGTTGAAGGGGAGGGGAAAGGAAAGGAGGGGAGCAGAGAAAAATGTATAGCTCAATAAAAAAGTAAAAAAAAAACCCGAATATTATATTTCACTTCAATTCCTTAGATATATTTTAAATTAAATTTTAATGTGATCTGTGAAAAAATGGTGAATCAAGAGAAGATATTCTAAGGACTCAAAAGGCAACAATATTCATGAAATTCTTCATTTGGAACCCCTGTTTATGAAGCTTTAAGAAAAGCCATTTGCACCAGAAATCACCTGGTTTCTGAACAGTTGTTACAGTTGTAAGTATTAAATAGTTTTTTATTTGTTTATTGATGTGTGCATATGTATGTGTGCATACACTGATATACCAGAAGACTAGAGAAGGATATTATGTATCATATTATTTTCTATCTTATTTCCTTGATATATAGTCTGCCTAGTATTAAAGCTGGCCATATTGTTAAAATAGTACAGCCTGTACAACTCAATGATCCTACCATTTTTATACCAGTGGGTAAACCTGAGCTGGTGGTATAGGTGCAAGGATCTAGAGTGAATCGGGTTTATATCAGATTTGCATGCTTGCATAGCAAGGTTCTTCTTCTGTAAGCCATTGTTTTCTGTCCCCTTTGGAGTTTTTTCTCAACTCTCCATTAGTCTTCCCTGTATGGGTTGGTATGATTGTGTGACCTTGGTTTAGTTATACAGGAAGGACTTGCACCACAGACATGCGTATAAACCTAAACAGAATGAAACAAATAACATATTCATTACTGCAATCTATAGGTAATTTATTAAGAAGGTCTAATATGTCTATTTATAAATACTACATGATTTTGTATGAAGGAATTAGATTAATAGAAATGTTATATTTTGATATCTGCCAAAACTCTGGAAACTAATACTCTTTGTCCTCAAGTATAGCTTTGAATTTATGGAGGCATTCACACATATATTAAAGTTCATAAATAATGTATTTAAACTTAATTCCATTGCATATATACATGTAAGTTATTAAAGATAGAATCTTTCAAAGTGAAGTGTTAAATTAATTTTTACTTGAGCATATACAATATATAGATAGTATTTTAACTTAATTTACATACAAGTATTTTTTACTTCTGTATAATTTAACAGATATACAATGTAATTTCTCATATATTGTAGGCTTTTCCACATAATCTTTACTAGATGTAGGTACAATTTCAAGTGAGGTATAAATGAAGAAATGTAGAAAGAAGGAAAAACATAAATTGTGGAGAAAAAATTGCACATTTGTTCAGTAGAAACCAGAATTGATGACTGGAATATGAATATTAAATCTCTTATATTTTAATAATTCTCACATCTTAGTCAAGAGATTGATGGTTTCACTTCTTAAAATATGTTGTAATTACTTCAGGAATTTTTCATTATCTTACTTATCCTCTTTAATATATAAACTGTTCATGATGAGAGAATTTACATTTCACTTTATTTTATCCAATATATAAGAAATAATTTATTTTTATACTTAGGCTACTGCCATTTTACAATGATATGAATGAATGTTGCTTTATTCTTTTTCCAATGTTTTTTAATGATTTTAATTCACATACATAAAAATAAATACAAAATATATGTTTTAGCTTAATTATACATTAAGCTATTTTAAGATAATAGACTTTACAAAATAGAAGATTCTTCTTAACTTCAATGAACTAGTAGGATTGACTGATCTCAATGGGAAATTTAAAGTCATTGTACATTTCCTACTAAATAGTATGTAAGCTTTTTTCATATATTTTTTCATTTTCATAGCATGAATTTAATATTTTTGTCATGTTAATATAATATATAGATCATATAAATATATACTTTTTCTGGATTGATTTTCTATATTTTCATTAACACAATGCCAAGTACCTTTTCTGAAAGTCAACATACTTAGTCAACCACTTAAAAATAAATAATAATAATAATGTGTAATAATAATCTTAATCACATATTTTAAATCTTCATTTGTGCACTATCAAGATGGCTTATTGGGTAATGATTTTTATTGGAAAACCTAATGGCCTGAGTTCTATTCAGAGGCCTTTGTGGTAGATCTCCCATGCTCTTGGGTAGGTAGAATTAACATAGTATAAGTGGCAATCTTATCAATTCCCATTAAAATCCCAGTAAAATTCCTAACAGATTTCAAAAGAAGAGTAATTCACATCATATGGGAAAACAAAACAATCAAACAAACAAACAAACAAAAACAGGATGGCCAAAACGAACCTGTATAATAAAGGACTTTCTAGAGGCATCAAAATCCCTGACTTCAAACTTTACTACAGAGCTACAGTACTGATAACAGCCTGGTATTGGCTTAGGTAAAGGGAACACTATTACATTGCTGGGGGGAGTGCAAATTAATACAGCTGCTTTGTATATCATTATGGTGATTTCTCAGAAATTTAGGAAACAACCTTCCTCAAGACCTAGCAATACCATTTTTAGGTATATATCCAAAGGATGCTCAATCAAACCACAAGGACAAGTGCTCAGTTATGTTCATGGCAGCATTGTTTGCCATAGCCAGAATCTGGCAATAACCAAAATACCCCTTGACCAAAGAATGGATATGGAAAATGTGGTGAATTTACACAATGGAGTACTACACAACAGAAAAAAAATAATGACATCTTGAAATTTGCAGGTAAATGGATGGATCTAGAAAACATCATATTGAGTGAGCTAACCCACAATCAGAAAGACAAATATCATATATACTCAGTCATAAGTGGCTTTTAGATTATAAAGAAAACCAAGCTATAATCCACAATCCCAGATAACCTAAACAACAATGAGGAACCTAAGAGGGATATACATAGATCTAATCCATCAGGGAAGTAGAAAAAGACAAGATCTTCTGAGTAAATTGGGAGCATGGAGATCATGGGAGAGGGTTAAAGATGAGGGCAGAGGATAGGATCGAAGCAGAGAAAAAATGTGTTGCTAAAAAAATCAATAAAAATTTTATAAAGATAGTTGATCAGAAAATATATAAGAAAAACAAAGTATTCCTTTTTTCTTACGTTATTTTTAATTTGATGTGAGGTATACCTTTACTTGTTTATTTTTAGTGTAATACTTCATCCAATATATTTGAATTAGAATGAGATTAGACTTTGTAAACATTGGCATCTGACTTTTACTTTAATATTTTCTCTTCTTGGTGTAATCCTGTCTGCCTCACAATGAAAAGAAACAACATTCTCTTGTGTATTGCTATACTTGTGCAATCAAATGCAGAAGGGTTTTACATGTCATAGTGAAGTCCTTAAGATAGCTCTGCTTCTAGCAATATCTTCCATACAGTACTTCTGCAGCAAATGTGGGTTTCTCCAGTGAAAAGCAGTTTTATGATGTCATTTAGAATTGCTAACTCTTAATAATGCTAATTTGGTTCTCTATAAGAAGGCAATATTTTTGTTAGCTATTAGCACTAATATCTTAACACAGTGAAGAACCCATAACCATTACACATTTTATAGTTATAGTTTTTGTACTGGTCTTACTGTATGTGGTTTATTTGAGCAGTCAACATAGGTCTTTAGAAACTGGAAAGCTCAACTAGAAAGAAATAGAAAAGTCTCTGATGCCAAATAATATTTTTTTCTTAAATGAGTTACTATTTTGCTTCAAGTGACTACTACAATGTAATGAGGAGGCCACTAGTTAGTTATCAGCTGCTTAGCACTAAAATAACCACACAGAAACTGTATTAATTAAATCACTGTTTGGCTCATTAGTTCTAACGTCTTATAGGCTAGCTTTTACATCTTAATTTAACCCATTTCTAGTAATCTGTGTATCTCCACGATGTTGTGGCCTACCAGCAAAGTTTCAGCATGTCTGTCTCTGAGGGCTCCGTGGCTTCTCCCTGAATTTGCCTTCTTTCTCCCAGCATTTAGTTTAGTTTTCCCAGCCTACCTCTATTCTCTGTGCTGTCCCAAGACCATTATTTTTAATTAACCAGTGGTATTCACAGGATACAGAGAGAAATCCCACATCACTACAATATATTTACCTATGCTTCAATGACTCTAACCTATTTACAGGTTTTGACTAAGATAGTAACTGCTCATATTTTACTAAATCAAATCAACTCTTTATGAAGCACATTCATTTCCACATTCACTTTCATCTAGTATAAGCTCAGAACTGGATGACTTTACACTACAGAGAAAACAATGAGAAACAAGTTCTGTCTATGCAAGAATGAGACAAAATATCAAAATACATCTTGAGTAGAATATTTTTATTCATTGTTATACCTACACTAGAATTATCATAACTTATAATAGTTTGATCAATGATATTTATCAATAATATAATTTAATTAATGGTTGGAAATCACATACATGCATTAATAAAAATATGTAATACAGTGCATGATTTAGGCAATGTGTCCCATTAAAGTTTCAAGATTTATTGTATTTACAAGTCAACTTTCTAAATTTTCTGAGCCCCTCTCTCTCTTTACTATTATCCTTGCTTCTGGGTGTTAATTCATCATTCTTTTTCTGTCAGCTGTCTGCACTCTTCGTTCATGCTTTCCAAAATGCCTGAAGGGTACACTGTCAGCTGTAGATACTCAAGTCAACATGGGAATATCAGTTGATCCACACAATGCACACACATACACACACGCATACACACACACACACACCCCTCACACACACTCACAAAGATATACACACTCCCACACATAATGCACTCGAGGAACTATTTGGCCCATTTCCAAAACATAAACTTTGTCACTGTCTTACGTGTCAGAAGTAACATAAAATTCCCATCACATTTATGCCCCTAAATTATTTTTAAGCTATGAGTGAAATGTAATATATATTTTCATAAAAGTCTATTGAATCACATAGCTCTTAGAATAAAAATTTTTAAAATAACTATCACTCAACTTTTTAAACATAAGTGACTGAAGGTGATTACTGTTTTTTTAGGATCATGTCACCCATGTAGACAAGCCATCTTACTAATGTTGTGTTATTTTGAAATTGGTGTACAGCAGTGGAATTTAATTTATTTATAGCCAAGACATAAATAAAATTATCTAGACACAGATACTGCAAACAAGCAAATTTAGTATTCAAAATTATGGTGAAATATTTTACCATCTTCTCTATGCATTCTAATGTGTGTTTTCTTTTCCTCATTCCTTGTATTCTCCCACTTCTTTTGTCAGATACATACACTGATTTTAATGTATATAAGATTTGCAATAATAGTCAATCCTAAGATTGTCTGTCTTGAATGTGTGCGTGTGTATCAAAGGGCTATGAAACTTAAAGAAAGATAGAACCTCTTCATCCAACAAGCCATTCTTTGTAAAGTTTTCACTGTACATGCACATATAAAAATATATGTGAGACGATGAATATATACAACTGTAGAGGTATAGTGTCCAAGCTTATATAGTTGTAGGCTCAGACCACCTATACCTGCGAATATCCTAATGTATACTCTCAGAGACAAGAATGTAATCAATGCAGTTTCTCTCTCAAATTAATTTAACAGAGGCCCAGGGATCTCCCTGTCTCAGCAGATAAGACATGCTTGGGCAAGTCTAATAAACATAACTCAATCTTAGGATCTGGAAAGATAAAAGGAAAGAACTGAGTCTAGATTGCTGTTCTCTGATCTCCACACTTATGTTTGCAGTCTCACCAACATACACTACACACCTACAACTACAGACACACACACACACACCAAGTAAATAAAAACTTTATAAAAAATTTACCAGAAATACTTAGATTGTGTAAAATCATTGCTTTAAATACCACATTCTTCCTCGATGTAGCGCTGTGCTGGCACATGAATGAATAAGCTTTATATGAATCTGAGTTTGCACAAATCCATAAATATGAAACCCAGATATGTTTTATCATTTGGAAATATTAAAATTTCATTATATAGTTAGACAAATAAGTAATATTTTGATAATAATTATTGATAAACTTTGAAAATAGCATTTTATAATAAATATCAAATGTTAAATTGTCCCTCTGGTCGTAACACACAGAAATAATGTTTTAATTTATTTTTAAACATATTCTATTCTAGAATACACCTTAGAAATTATAATAACATTCTAATTTTAAAACGTTTCATTTTGCACTTTTACAAAGTAGATTCCTTACATTTCTCTTATTGTTTTTTTTTTCTTCTTTTCAAACTTCCGTACTTTTTCTCTCAAGGTCATATAGCCCTGTATCAGATAGCAGCAGAGCTTCAGTAATAACAGCAGCTGCCATCTTTGATTAATGTAAGTGAATGCTGTTTTACAATTTTCATAGCTTCCCTCCTTTGCACCAGTTTTGACAAGGAACATTGTTGGGTTCAATGCTGGATGCCCTAGAGGTGCCCTAGAGTTATTTTAACGGATTCAATTTGCTCTGCTTTTCATGTAAGCGCAGTTTTCCTTCTTACATATTTCTGGGATATAGAAGAAACTATTTCTTACATAAAATATTTTAAAAACTTTACTCTTAAATAAGTCTTTGTTTTATAGACAATATATTGGGCCTTCCAGTGGTTTTTAAGACTCATACACAAAAATATTGTTGACCATCTGAGTCCCTTACTGTCTTCCTTCGTAAATAGATCCCTTCTCTCCTGTTCTCACATCTTCTAAAGCTCAATAGCAAAAGAAAAAATAAGCCAGTTTACTTTAGTCTCATATATTATGAAAAATGAATACCGAAGTAGTTTAATCTCCCACTTCACAAATAAAGAACCAAAGCTGTAGAAATGTTTGATTAATTTCAAGGCAGCCCACAGGCAGGTCCTAAACAGTGCAATGACTTCCAAAATGAAGAAAGATTATGTGACTGGGTTGGTATTACAATCCCTCCTAGGCCTTGCGGATATATGTGCCAGTTGATCTTCTGGGACTCCTAACAGTGGGAGCAGGGACTATCTCTGTCTCTTTGCTGACGTTTGGAAGCATATTCCTCATACTTGAATGCTCTGCCCAGCATTAATACAATGTAAGTTGCTTACTAAAATTTGACATATCATGTTCTGGCTATGTCCATTTCAGACCTGCCCTTTTCTGAAGAGAAAAGGAGGGGGCTTAGGAAGAGGGATGGTGGTAAGGAGGTTGTGGAAGGAGAGGAAGTTGGGGAAAATATGAAAAAAAAATAAATTTACTCTTAGAACTCTATCTCTGCTTCTTACATTTCACTAACCTCCTATCTCATTTTATAATTCCCTAACTGAAAAGTCCTGGCACATCTGTTTATATTTCCATGTCATTTTTTTATATTTCCATGTCTTATATTAAACTTTTCCTATCACAAGGGCCCCCTTTTTGTTTTCATGGCCACTGCCCACACTTACTCATAAACACACATATCTAAATGGTTAAAGCTAGTGCCAGGTGGAAATGATAGGCAGCATGTAGCTCATGTATTTCTAAGCCTGGACATTAAACTAAATAAAGCATTTTTTCAAATCCAGTACTTTTCCTGTGAATTTTAAAACTTTTATTATACTTTTAGGGTGAAAAAATTCTTTTCTTTATCCCCATAATGGCTCCCTTAATCAAAATACTTATTCCTTGCTCTGTTATGAGGCTAGCAAGAAACCTGGCACTAAGAAAAGCCCCAGGAATCCACAAGAACCTAAGGAATAGAGGAAAGGGGGCACGGATTGAACTTGCCCTATAGTCAGATTGATGACTATTCTAAATGTCATCATTGAACCTTTATCCAACAACTGATAACATTCACCATCCAATTTCTGTCCATGAAGTTATAATCTGATCCCATTAACTTGATCTTGTGAAAAGAACAGAGATATATAACTTGCCTTTCACTGGGCATAGAGTCCTTTGCATATATCCACAGGTGTGCCAGGACTGAGTCATATGCTAGCTGTGTCTCGTTTGGTGAAATCTCTAAATGCTCTCTAGTGTATTGTTCCAAATCTCTCATCCTGTACAAAAAGTCAATGGAAAGTAGACTAAAAATTTCAATGTCATGGCTAAAATGCAGAAATGAAGTATCATATAAATATTGGCAAAACTAACTTAATAGAATTCTAATAATATGGTATGACTGTAAGATTTAATAAGTGTGATTATATGTAAATTAAAAAAAACTTTCCTTTCTTTCTAGAAAGAAAACTATATCAACATGAGATTTAACAGTGTCTGAGCACTTACTACAAAATAAACAACAACCTAAATTCAAGAAATATCAGGTACAAAAATTGAATGTACAAGTTTTTTCCTCAACAGAGTAAATAAACAGCCCAGTGGATAGCAGATAATCTTTACCAGCTATGGTTTACCCAAGAATAGACTGGTTAATATCTAGAATATAAAAGGAACTGCAAAATTAAGTACAGAAAACGAAATTATATGATATTTAAAGAGGAAAGTTAATGCTAGGCAGGGGTGATGCATACCTTTAATCCCAGCACTTGGCAGGCAGAATCAGGTGAATCCCTGATTTCAAGGACCATCTAGTCTACAGAACAATTTAAAGAAACCCTGTCTTGAAAGCAAAACAAGAGAAGAAAGTTAAGTGAGAAAGCAGGTCTTAAAAGGATAATACAAATGATATACCACCATAGACTTTTAAAAAAAATGTTCAACATTTATTAGTGAAACATAAAAAGGAGCCACTTTATTTTAGTTTTATCTCACTCCACTTTTAGAAAGAATATCAAAGGAAGATGAATGACAACAAATGCTGGAAAACATGTCTTAGTCGTAAGCCTTTAAACATTTAGGAGTTGAGTTAAGTGCAGAATTAAGATAGGGATCTACTTTCATTCAAACTGGTGTGGTCATCACTTTGTCTTATTTCTCTCTTTGTCATTTTTGTTTAAAATTTGAACTCATTGTCACAGGCAAGGAAATTCTGAGCAGTACACCAATAAATAATAGCACAAGCTTTATTACCAAAAGTTATTAAGTAAGATAACATAAAATTAATATGCTCTTGTGTAAGAAATATCAGTCAGAAACTGCCTATAACATGGAAAAACAGTCTTTATCAGCTACACATCAGTTATGATCTAGACTGTCCTAATAACTCAAAAACTAAAAATAAAACAAAGTAAATATCATGGCATGATACTAAAAAGAAAGTTCTAAAAAGATGAAATATAAATGTCATAAACACACATATGTTTTCAAGATGTTTAAACATATTTTAAGCAAAATATTTAGCTGTTAGTAAAATGCAAATTAAACCTAATGTGAGATCGTATTTTACCCCATTCTAAATGACTAAGATTTTTAAAAAAGACAACCAATATGCTGGCATGGCTGTGGGGGAGAAAGATTACATGATGACTGCAGGTGGGAGTGCAAACCTGAGAAGCTACTACTATGTAAATTGATATGAAATTTCCTAAAGATCTTAGAAATAGAACTTCTACATGATTGACATGCACCACTCTTGGACATAACCAAAGGAATCTATACTCCACTACAGATATACTATCTCATCCATGTTCATTGTTGCCCTGTTCACAATCACAAGGAAATGGAAACATTTTAAATGTCTATCAACTGATGCATGAATAATGAAAGCATGGAACCATTATACTATAAAATATTACAAACTTATTAAAAATGAAATTATGAAATCCAAAGTAAATGTATGGAGCTGCAAACTTTCATTCCGAGTGAAGCAGCAAAGATCCTACAAGACCGATGTTACATATTTTCTCTCATTTGTAAATATTTTTAAAGTCCTCACATGTGTGCTTTATTTAGAATACGATTACCCATAAGTAGCACCATTATGTGGGCCATAAATATGTGGCTATCCAGGTAATAGGTCTAAGATACAACCTAGTCATATGACTCTGAAAAAAAAGTGCATAGCACTGAAGATCTCCTTATCAATATACCCACAGAAAAATTTACCTCCAAGTCCCCATCAAAACAGCTTCTTTATGCACCAGGTGTGAAAATATAGACTCACAACTGAGCAAAGTTCAGAGAAAATAGGACCATGGAATGCTCAGACCTAATTGCCATATCTATATCACACGTTTCCTCCCAGTGTTCACTGGAAGAATAGCCGGAACGATCATATGAGGTAGAGTCAGTTTGTGACTACATGAAAACTGTATCTTCTAGGTACAGATGTACACATGAAGTCATAGCTGTTGTGACAGCAGGCACAAGACCTGTATAAGATCATGAAGTTCTAAGCTCAGTTAAGGAAGTACTGGCAACTGATAACTACTGGGAGTTAGATACTTGCCATGCACCGCATCCCCGTGTCTGCGCTCTGTGCACTTGAACCCAGTTAAGGAGCTTTGGGCAAGGGGGCTGGAGGTTAAAACACACAGACACACACAGACAGAGAGACAGCGACACGGGTCATCCTTGAATTCCCCAAGAATGCTCCCTTTATTGTGTTCAGGGCCAGATTATATATAGATAGCCACGCCCCAGCCAAACCCACCAGAAACCACTCTCTTGCCACCAGGAACTCCTGAAGATCTCATGCTCAGAGCAGGTGTAGGCACTCAGATTGGGGGATTACAAGAAATTCAGGATCTGGGGTGTTGCGGGAGGTCCTTCCGCTCCTCCAGCCAATAGCCACTGAGATACCAGCCCATTGGGGCGTGGTCTCTCTCCCTTTAAAAAAAAAAGTGCCACTTTCCCTTCTCCTCTCTCTTACTTCCTGCTCCGCTTCCAGCAACTAGACTCCCTTCCTGATTGCTCAGAGCGCTGTTGTCTGGGACGGTGATCTGTAAGTTTTTTCCCCTTTAAGTAAATAACCATTCTATTAATCATAATTCTAAACTGGTGTGGGATTGTTTTTGACTTAGGTCTTAGCCTTCACTGGGGTCTCACTGCTCCCAACATCTTTGTTGTCTTTAAGTGTATGGATATTATTATGTCTGTCATGCTGTAGTGAATGACCATGTATGTAAGAGCATATATAAAGCACAAATTATTCTTGTGGGCTTTAAAATCATCCACACTAACCAAGAGACATGTTAGGGGAGTAGCAGGATGGTGTGAATCTGAAAGAATTTCAAAACCGAATAATTATGCTCAAACTAAATTATACAAAATTTATGTAAAACTAGTAAAAAATGGAAAATACTTAAAATAGGCCTTTTACTGTTTTCTTTCTTAGTATATTCCTCAAATTAACAAACACACTTGTTTCCAACTGTAAAATACAATTCTCTAACCACACTTAAAGAGATTACATATGTGTAAACCAGGTTTTTTATTTTTAAATGCAGTTAAAGATCAACATGTAAATAGAATACTTCATTTATATGCTAACATTTCATGCATTTAGAAATTGCTGTAATCTTTAATATATATTTTATCAAAAGGTGAGTTTAAAAGCAATAATCACATGCACTAAGCATAATGGTTTTGAAGCTCTTCTATTTCATTAGTTCTTTCTATAAGTTCTTTCTATATTGAGTTCAAGTTACATAATGGACACTGTATATCCACACTGAGGTAAATATTTAGAACATACTATTAATATACTAAGTTTGACTTTAATAGTTTTCTCATTGCTTAAATGATGTTTCTCACGGTTTAACTTTTTTCTTCTTCTGTTTCAAGCAGGATAGTTAAATATAGGATTATTTCAAAATTATTATTCTCATTTATGTGTCTACATGTGAGAGTGTAAACCACATAAAAGAAAAGTCCCTAAGACCAGAAGAGAGCATTTGATCTCCCAGAACTGTAGTTAATGGTGTTTGAAGCTAGTAAGTGTTCGTGCTGGGAGCTGTGCTTGAGTCTTCCAAAAGAAGAGCAACAGCATTTAACTGCTGAGCTATCTGTCTATCCCCTATGTGATAAACACTTTTATAATATAAGAGTATATTTTTTCTCATGTGCTTTTAATTTTTGTATCTCTAATTTAATCTCTCATTGTGAGGAATAATTAAGTCACATACAAATTAAACTATGTGTTGGTGCTTTAATTTAAACTAAATGTATAAAATGAATAGACA